GCCTTCATAAAAAACCCAGCGGGTGGCACCTAGATGGCCCACATACCGAGTGTGACATTGAAAGATACCTCCCACCACCAGCCCGCTCCTCCTTGGCTCAATCGCCTTGGCTGCCTTATCTGGCAAGGACGACGCACCACACGCTTTTCGGAAGCACCCCGACCCACTGTCCTCATCCTGCTCTGATTCCTGACTGCCTGAGCTGAGCCATTCTGAAGCGGATTTGGCGAAGGAGCATTGTTGCCAGAGTGCTGAGCAAACACTGTTTCTTTCCCCTATTTTTTACACGTTTTTATGCACCACGTTTTTTTGTTTTTTATCTTACTTTTTTTCTGGTTTTTTGTGATGGTCATGTAAACACGGCCGGAACAAGTTGTGCCGCCAAGTCGAAAATAACATTCTCCAGCGGCCATTTCAGCCGTGAAGCACGCGACTCAGGGCCAAATAACGATTCCGGCCTTAACAGAGACCAAGGCTCAGACGCTCGATTTTGAGCCCGTCTCCAGTCGTCGGCAGTCGGCTCAAATATTTATTCTTGATACCGTAGAGAGGCTCAGACTGCAGCCGAGTGTCCCGACCCACTCGAATGTCCTTTTGCGTCGTCTCTTCATAAAAATCCAAATAGCCAGAACAAAGGAAAGCGGAAAGCAGCCGCCACCAGGCGGGTAATGGGAGTGGAGATGAGCTCCTCCTGGCATCTGCCTGGTTTATGGCCAGACTCTTGAATACATTTATGCAAATTGCTGCAATTCTATGAATTTCTTCATGCTTATATATTGCATGGGTATTTTAAAATCGCATTTCGGTTTTTGCTCGATTATAACCGTTCGGTTCCGTTCCGAGCTTCATTGCCGAATCAAACAGAATTATTCAAATTTGCGGCAATAAAAAACAAAATGAATCCTTGGAATTTATTGGATCATATTTCCCAGAGATACATCTGGCAATAAGTTTTATTAATCATCAGAGCACAGAAAGACTTAAATTTATAAATGCGGAAAATAGGTATTTCTGGTGGTAGAACTCCAAAGTGATTATTCAAGATAATCTTAATCTCTTGAGTGGATTGTGTCGGCCGAAATTTTATTTCTCTTGGCCAAATAAAGACTGTACAGTGTACACCGACGCCGGAATTGATTCTGTTTGTATTTCCAATCTCAAGTCCAGACCACCTGCAGCCTGACTGTATCTCTTCGGCTTGGTCCACGACACTGTCAGGGGTTTTCATTTAACGGCAACGAGAAATCACATTTTTTAAACTCCCAAGCCACCCACCCCCAGGAGGTGGCCTAGACTCCCTACTAGCCCCATCCTCGTACCAACCCATTCCTTTGTTTGCAAAAACGAAAAGTTATTACCAAAAAGGGAACCACGCTTCGGCTTAGTTTATTGTGTGTGTGAACCTTGGTTGATATTTCTTTTGTTTGCTGAAATTGAAAACAATTGAAGCTCGCCAACAGCTGATTATTTACAATGGGAAGAGTATTTAAATTTAATTCAAACAAAGGCTAGTCCTTTCCTGGCATTTAAGTTACAAAAATTCCTTTATAAGGACCTACATTTTTCGTTGAAATGCAATTTATCTCAATTTGAGTTCCACGTAAATAAAAATAAAAACATCCTTTATGGTCCAATTTATTTTCCCGACTGTCAAATGTCACTTTGTCTTAAATACGGCAACTGCCACTAAACCCGATTTATAGGAGTCCCCATCAAAATATGGTAACAGTAACTGGATTAAATCAACGGAAGGATACACTTTCTAAAAATATTTAACCTAAAAAAGGCATGGATTAAAATTGGATAAACCCATAATCGAGGCAGGAATAAAAAATGGTGTAAACAAAAAATTACTTCCTAACCATTACACAACCCACCGTGATACCCTTTAACCCTTTTCTGAAAAAATCTAGGAAAAATAACTAAAAATTGCATGGCTCAACTTTTGTGCACTCGCGTGTGCAGGCCAACAAAAAAATAGGTCCCTCCGCCTGTCACAGCCGAGCCGGGGGTGTACATTGTACGGAGATTTCTGTTCCGTAGAATAGCGTCAGAAACTTTGACGAAAACAAAAACACAACTGCAAAGCCGTAACTGCTGCCGGAATATACGAGTATCTAGCAGCAGGCCCACCATAAATCAATTTCACAGTTGCAGCGTAAATAACACCAGACAAAGGGGGTCAGCGACGGACGAGGAGACGGACGAACATCCGGAAGTGGTACAGAAATGCCAGCGGATTCAGTGGCAGAATAGGAACCGGAACCGGATACAGATTTCGCTTTGAGCAAGTTTTATACATATCCGAACTCTTGCATTCTTCCAGCTGGGCGTAGCCGTCGGCTTTGTGCTGCCACCCATGCTGGTGCCGAACTCCCCGGATCTGGAGACGGTGGGCAATGATCTGAGGCTGATGTTCTACATGGTGGCCGGTCTCACCAGTGTCCTGCTTGTACTGATGGTCTTCTGTAAGTAAAAGGCTAAGATTACCAGCCAATACCACATCACCTTCGCTTTCAGTCTTCCAGGACAGGCCACCCACTCCGCCCTCCGCCGCCCAGGAGGCAGCCCAGAGGTTGGAGGCCTCCGATGCCGAGCAGGTCAGCTTCATGCACTCGCTGAGGAACCTGCTGACCAACAAGAACTTCATCCTGCTGCTCCTCTCGTACGGCATCAATGTGGGCGTGTTCTACGCCATCTCCACGCTCCTGAATCCGGTATGAAAAGCTGATTAATGGCCGGTTAATGGACGCTAACGGCTGGGATCTGTTTTTTTTGCAGGTGGTGCTCAAGTATTATCCTGGCCACGAGGTGGACGCCGGACGTATTGGCCTCAGCATTGTGCTGGCCGGCATGCTGGGCTCTGTGGTGTCCGGCATTGTCCTGGATAAGTCGCACAAGTTCAAGTAAGTACAAGTAAAACAATCAACGGCTGAAGGGCTTTTTCGAACATGGTCAAAACTCATTACGCATACGCCGTGTGCGCCGCTTGAGAAACTTTCCGACCGGCAGTTGGAGAACTTGTAATTAATTGAAGGGGGGCAGGCACTCGATGTTAAATGAACGGTACTCAACGGTTTCCCCAACTCTCTGTTCTCCATCTTCTCCAGGGAAACCACATTGGCGGTCTATGCTCTGTCCATGGTGGGCATGTGGATATTTACCTTTACCTTGGACGCGGGCCACATCGCGGTTGTCTATCTCACGGCATCGCTGTTGGGGTGAGTAATTTAGATATATTTCTATAATTAGGGAAATCTTTTATTGGACGGTTTCCGTGACTCATTATTTAAAGAAATTAAGGACCTTATAGATGGTAAATAAATTATTTATTTAATTTATACTCCCTAGATTCTTTATGACGGGCTACTTGCCAGTGGGTTTTGAGTTCGGGGCCGAGCTTACCTTCCCGGAGCCCGAGGGCACTTCCTCCGGTCTACTGAACGCCTCCGCCCAGACCTTTGGCATCTGCTTCACGCTCTTCTACTCGGAGCTGTTCTCCGAGTTTGGGGACATTGCCGCCAATGTAACCATGGCTATAATGCTGATTGTGGGCACTATCATTACAGCCATCACACAGTCGGATCTGAGGCGCCAGAACGCCCAGGTGACGGTTAGAGGGGATGCAGGTAATCCGTAAATATCCGATGGACACACACCTGGAACACTAGCTCAGTCGCCTGGACCTGGGACTGCCTTTTATGTATAGTATTCTGCGCATATCGTTTTACTGTTTAATTTATTCAATTGTTTATTGTACATTTCGTTGTAGCCTTAAGTGTTGAATTTTAAAATGTTCATTAAAGGTGCATAGCAAAAAAAAAACACACACAAGAACACAAAACACAAATATTAGTAAGCTTAGGCAATTATTTTTTACAAGTTTTATATATATTGGCCATGTTTAAGGTTTAGTGCATAGGTTTAATGAATATAAATTATGCAACTCGAAGACTTGCATCGAAATTCAGCTTTATCTTTCCGTTGCCACTGCACCCAGAACACAATTACAGACAAGTATTACAAACAAGAAAAAAAAACAAGGAATTATCCTCCAGTATTATAGCCCCCAAATTATTCTAGCGAATGTTGAAAATTGATTAGCGGAATATCCAAAATGAGTTTGAAGCAGTAACGCCACGACGCCAAAAACCAGCAAATGCATTACCGAACAGTAGCTGACTCTCCAGCCACTTCGATTCCAGTTCCCGATTCTTCCCGCCTGCGAGAATTTGTACATAATCTATATATATATATAACACTTTTTCCAGACCCGATCCAGCGAGAAGGCTACTGTCGTTGTACAAATTTCGTTGAGTACACAATTATCCTGCATATCTGGCAAACTGTAATAATTTTGGAGAATTTACAATTAAAACAGCAGATTCAAGAGTCAAATCAATATATAAATAATATTATATATACAAGATATATCTATACATATGATAGTGTTGTGAACTAGATGACAAAACCCACACAGAAACACTCGCGGAGGACGGAAGATGGCGTGTAACCCCATTTTTTGTAGATAGCCTTTAGGCCAACACGGCCAATTGACATACGTAACGAAGTTATCTCCGAACTAGAGTCAATTCAGATGGCAAAAAGCAGAAGCACACAGAACTACCTGACATGAGACAACCACCTACACAGTACAGAACGAGCTAAAAAAGAAAAACGCTCGAGCGATGCCCGTTCAACCGTATGGATACGGATACGGAAACACGGAGTCCTGGTGCCGGAGTCCTCAGTTTTTCGGGCACTAGAACAGCCGGGGTCGTGATAACACGCAAGCTTTAACTTCACTTGTTGTTAGATTCGGAATGGCCAAAGATATATACATACATATATTAAATGATAGTTAACACACACGGACACCACTTAGCCACCACTTCATAGCCACGAGTTCTTGCAAAATGCTATATGTGAATGTATATGTGTACGTGTATAAAAGTATTCAATAAACTATTCAGTGTACGCCTTGTTTTTTTTCGATTTACACACATTATTATATATTTTGAGAGACATTCTAAATGCAATGTACATATAGGTATTAAAACAATACTTTTCAATATAGAGCGAACACGAGCGTGTCCCAGTCGAATACAAGGATACGAATAATTTGAATGGGAAACACAAAACGAACGCGTAAAACTAATAAAATTATTAACTTAAAAAGAGAAAACTTTAAACAACCCGCCCGTTTGGTGTCAGTGTCAGTGCCTCCTCTTCCCAAGTCCGTGTCCAGGCCGCTCTGACAGCCATTGCAATCGCTAGTGGTTGGGTCAGCGGGTCAGTGGGTGGTTCCCCAGGCCCGCAGCAGTGTCAGGGCCTTGTTGAAGTAGGCGCACCACTCCTCTCGCTCCTCCTTAGTATCGGCGGAGAGCAGGTGCCGCACCGTGGTAGTGCGTCCGTTGGGCACGATTATCAGCGACTCCTGGTCCGTGTCCTTTGCCGGTCGCTCGCATTCCAGCAGCATTGTGTTGAGACGGGCGCAGATGTCGCGCGGTGCAGTGGTCACCTTCTGGGAGCTGCACGCGTTCAGGTCGATGCTGCCCATTGGCGTCTTGCGCTTCTCATCGTCCGGATACTTCCAGTAGTTGAGCACCGAGCCGTTCAGATAGCACCATCGTCTATGCCAGGCCCCAAAGCCGGAGATATCCTCGAACATGGTGAGGAAGCCCTTGTACTCCACGCTCACCGACAGTTCGCAGTTAACCTTCATGTGGACAACTCCTTCGAGAGGGCTGACGCCAAGCACCTGAGTCAGCGTCCAGCTAGTGCGCTGAATCTCCCGCAGCGAGAAAATGGCAAAGCCGTATTGCACCAGCTGAGGTGTTCGCACCACATGTGGACCTGCAGGGCTCTGAACCGGTGGCATGACCAGTCGGTTCTCGCCACCCTTCTTCTTCGGGGTCTTTACACCGCCCTTCTTGTTCAGGTTAATGTGGTACTTCAGCTCGTGGGGCAACTGATCGCGCTGAGCCAGCATTCCGTAAATTTCCAGGGTAATCTGTAGTCGAATTAACAGAAATTAGAAACAATCCAAATCTAGACCACCACTGAGACTCACCCGAAAGTCGGCGTAGACATTATTCAACTGCAGGACATCGGGGAACTTGACGGACAGCAGGCCGGGCATCGTGGGAACAGTTTTGGTGGCCAGCACGTGCTCATTGTACTTAAGCAAGCACACAAGGTGGTGGCCATTAATGTTGCCCGATGCCATTTTGCGCACGTACTCCTGTCGCAGGGGAATAGTGATGTCCTTGACCGTTAGCAGACCCTTTTCTTTTGGGGCGCCCACGGGACGAATGCTGTTCTCCACTCTCAGTCGCTGGACCTCATCCAGACAAGCCTGCCGGCGATGGGCTGAAATATTATTAAATTTTCGCATAAATAATTGAAATTCCCGTAAATAATGTTTTAAGAAAACCTGCTCATCAACCCTTTGGGATACTCACTTGCCAGTAGCAGATAACGCTCTCCCTCAACGGACTCGGTGGAGCCGGAGAACTCCACGGTGGCTGCACAGAGGTTCAGTGCCTGGCTGGCCTGGCCTATGACCTGCTGCTGCTTGCACACCTCAGCCAGCAGCTTTTTGATTTTATCCTGGGCCATGGAGGCCTCGTTGGATTCACGCGCGTTCTGTAGTTCCTCATCTTCGTCCTCTGTGGGTTCGTCTAGGGCTGAGGTTGTCGCAGCTTCGCCCTGTTGTGGAGAGTCGTACTCCAATCGGTGCTTTGCATGGCAATCGCCAGCAAGAGCCGAACGAATTACCTGCTGCTCCCGACAGATCTTCCGCACAGGCGTGGAGTTGGAGCTCTGTCGACAAGGATAATTACAAAAGGATGATTACATTTGTTCCATGATTACTTACATTAGCACTTTGTTGACGGCGATAGAAGCTAACAGTGTGCACCAGCGTGACTAGGTTGTCATTGTCCTGGTTTACGCTCAGCTCTGACTTGACTGGTTGGGCTGCACTAATAGGCAATGGAGTTTGGATGTCCAAGAGCTCGTGGTGCTCATCAATAGGCGAGCAAGTGCTGGCAGCAGGGTTCTTCCGGAACGAGAAGCTGTTCGAAGCTGTGGTTCCTTTGCTCTGCGGGTGGCATTCAAAGTAGGAAAATATGTCAAATGAAGTGAAATAAATATTTAAATAATAAACACTTACACCCAAAGACAATCGACTGGCGTTCTGCTCATCCCCGCTGTCACTTTCATCGTCCTGAGTGCTGCCGTAATCTTCGACAAGAGCCTCATCTAGGTAGTCATCGATGCCGGCTGAGACCTGGGACGAGTTTATCGAGCTATCCTCCTGGGCCTCGTGATTGTAGTACATATCCTGGTCCGCATACCGCACAGTCTGAAGAGGCAATAAAAACAATGAGGTGTTGTGATTAGAGACCGCCCGCTGTGTTCCAACTTTTCTACCTGCATTAGGTACTCACCTTTTTGCCGTGATTCTGGTGCTGTATCTCGGCCTCGTTGCGCTGCACAGCATTCATTATTTCTCGACCCAGACTACCGTTGCACATACCGGCGCTGCTGTCCTCAGTCTGCGACTCCGACTCATCCATGCAACTGCTCGAATCAAAGATAAGTGGTTAGTTAAGCAAGCGATTTTATTTTAGCCTTGTCTAGGGAAGGGGATTAAAGCTATATGTCTTAAGCTATCAGTCTTAGAGTGTTACTCGATGCAGAGCAGGAATAACAAGCAGGAGAAGCATTTATCAGCGCACCTTTCTGTTTCCTCGTCCTCCAGCTGGTCGCTGTCGTCCGTGGCGGAGGCAGTGACGGTGGCACAACAGTTGTCGCCGCTGGAATCGAGGTCGGACAGGGCGGGATACAAGCGATCGGGCTGCGATTTACGCGCCCGCTTCGACTCCTCTTCAGATATGGGAGCATCGCCAGCTGAAATTAAGAAAACATCAGCTATAAGTTCCGCCAAGCCCGGGTTAGTTATTTGCTTACGTGATCGTCTCTTACTGCTGGCGGGTGAGAATCCAGCAATAGGAGGTGGTGGAGGAGGCGGCATGGGCCGCACTACTTTGCTGACCACTGGTGCAGGAACAGCGGGAGCTGGCACCGGAGCAGTCTGCTGAGTTTCAAAAAGTTCCTTTTGTTTGTTGAAGCGATTGGCAATGATTTGCATGTCCTCTTGTCTCTGCCGATCGATGTCCTTGATTCGGTTCTCAGCACTCGATTGCGCACTAGCCACCAGAGCAGCTACCTTGTCTTTTAGCTTGTTCTCCGGCTTGGGTTTGGCCGCAACAGCTAAGGTGGTAGAAGCGGCGGCGGTGACTGGATGTACTGCAGTAGCATGGGCTTTTGGAAATGGATATTAATGCAAGGGAGTTACCTTAAAATTCAATAAACTTACATTTCGCCTCCTCCTGCCTGATCTGACTTATACTAGGAGCAGATCCTATCGGAGCAATGGGCACAATAGCCTTGTTGTTGCCGGTTTCAAACAGCTTCATGCGCTCCTTCAACGACAATTCACAGGGATCCTTCTGGTTGCGCTGGCTACCCTGCATCTGTCCACCGGGGCCTCCTTTCTCGAAAATGGCTGCCCGCCCTGAAACCAGGCCCGATTTTACACCAACAGTGGACGCAGGAGCAGCTGGAGCCGGCTTAACCGCGGTAGCGGAAGCTGCAAAGGCCTTGGCCACCTGGCTGACGGACGTCGACTTCTCCGGCACTGGCGGCTTGGCAACCGGCGCCACCTCTCCCTGTTTGGCATAATCATAGGTGTGTTTAATGGTCGAAGACTCACGACGCTGAAAACCTTGGGCCTCCAGAGAGCTCAGTACCTTAGGATCCCACTTTAATTGCTTGGTCTTGACGGTCTCGTCGACTTCGTCCTTTTTCTGAGGCGGCTGTGGAGCTGGCCCCTTCTCTATCCGTCGACTGGGCAGGTCTGGCTTGGGTGGCGGCGGCTCGATGGGTCTGTGCACTTCGTGGTGCGCCGTGTCATCCTCCCACTGGTTGATGGTGTCAGCCAGAGCGGCCAGCTTACCGAATCGCTGCTTGGGCTGCCTACTAGGTCTTGTATCGGCCCCATCATTGTCATCGTCTGCGTGGAACTGTCCTTCCGTCCTATGAATGGGCGAAGACAAATCATCGGTGTTGGAGTACAAAGCGCCCATGCGCTGCAATCTACTCCGGGAGGTATCCCTGAGACGCGCCAGAGGCTGATTCACAGGAGGGGCAGGCTCCGTAGCCGTTACAGCCGTCGCTTCGTCGTCATCGGTCACCTCTTCCTCCTGAATTTCAACTTGCACCTGGAAAATGCCAGCAGATAAGCAAAAACACACCACCGATGGCGCATCTAAGGGGTGGGTGAGCGAGACTTACCCCAATTGGCTTGTCTGTGGTTATGTTTATTTCGATGCCCATTTCCATGTTTTCCTTATTGACCGCTGTATAGTGGCGCAATGGCTTGGTCGGCGATGCCTCCAGCGCTGCCTTGTCCAGAATCACGACCTTGCTGCTGGTGCTCCCGCTACCCGGAGAGCGGCTCCTCTGGGGCACCACTGCATCCGACGCATCCGAGGTGGCGGAGGGAACGCTGCACTCCGACAGTGGGAATTTGCTGGCATTGCTGATGCCGAGGGCGCGACTGCGCTGTTCCGCCTTCTCTAGCATGTGCTGGAAAATCGCAAGCGCATTATAATTCACAGATGCTATTACGTACACCACTGAAACCGGAGACAAAGGGCCTCTCTGTGTGCGAAAGGCGCAGCCTTCGTACCTGAGTAAACGGGTCCATTGCGACGATTTATTGGCTACTGTGATTGCAAGATATAGTTGCGCGCACTTCAATACTGAGAACGAATACTGTACTAGCACTCCACGACTGCAATGTAACCGGGCGTTTGCGACTGTTTTTTATTTACTTCTTGCTGCTGCGTCCGTTGGCATTCGAAATTCTGCGCGTCGCTTCTTTTTAAGGCGGTTGGAGACCTAGAGATGTAACACTCGCGATAGTATCGGATGGTTATCGTAAATAGTGCTGGAAAATGGTTCAAATTTTCGTTACGAATCTGTGGACTCTGTGTGGACTTTAAATAATTCGCCCAGCTGATTACCAACATATCGTAGGAAAAATAACAAGGATTTTATTAAAGAAATTACTATATTTCTTATGAAAATAAAAACTTCTATTCATAAGTGGTCTTTTTCTGTTCAGAGGCCATAAAATACTTTTTCTCCAATCCATAACTGAAGAGGTAAGTGAAATAACGTCAAAACATGTATTCGCCATGTGGGTTGTTGAAAAATTCCTTTTTATTTACCAATTTTTATAAAATTTCTATATTAAAAACTATAAGCCGCATTATTATATTTTGTTTCTAGGCTTTTCTATATGCCATGGCGGATCAAAGGACCGTGGACTTGCTTTGGAGCTGCGCCAAATCACTGACCTCCGACACTCAAGCAGAAAGACTCCTCAAATCACATTACATGTAAGATTATGAACTATTCCATCGAACCATCATCTTAATTCACCTAATTACATACAGAAATACCTGCCGCAAGCTAGCAAGGCATAATGTGCAACTACCAGAGGACAGTTTTGGACCAGCCAGGATGTGTAGCCGCTGCGGCAACCAATGGTCCGATGCCCGCTATGAACTCCACCTGGAATCCCAAAAACTGAGGCAAAGTGCCAAGAACCGAAGACTTATCGCCCGCCTGGATGCCGTAAAGGCAAAAATGCAAAGGGGCGAGATGAGCAGTGGGGCTAGGAAGCGCGCCAAATGGCTAAAGAAGCGCATGGCCAGTAACATGGTGAGTCCAGCCCCAGAAACTACCTTTGTACCTTTAAACTACCATAAATCCTATTTCAGGCAGTGGACTGCGAGGTTTGCCGGCACAAAACAATGCTGCCACTGGAAAAGGGCCGAAAGCGAGCCAAACTCCAAGACAAAGAAGAATCAATAGTCGTTGCCCAACCTGCGGCAACAGGGCCCACCAAAAAAAAGGCAAAAACGAAAGCCCAAAATAAAGATATCAATGCAGGCCTTAAAATTCCACAGGCGCAACCGAAACAACAACAGCCAACTCCCGCGAAGAAAGCCCCCCAAACAGTACAGCATCCAAGTCAAACTCCAAAAAAGAAGAACCAGAAGAAAAACAAAGCAACACAACCGGCGCCCGCACCGAAAACCCAGTCCAAGACGCAAAAACAAAACGCATTGCTGCAACTGGCCGCGCAGCTAAAGTCGAACGCGTTTAAAAACGCCAGCAAGTCGCAGGAGAATCGCCTGCAAGCCTTCCTCAAGTAGCGTGTAAAACCGCTCGCCAATATGCATTTAAGTACAAAGATTGTGGTTTAGTTGAATGAAAATACTTGTTATTGCACATAATTAAGCGTTAGCAACAATACAAGAATCAGGCTCTTTGTGCCGGGGCAGAGAGTGGAGTGATAAAGGTGGCTGGGCCCAGGTGGGAACCTGTTATCCAGCCGCCCGGTCTTCTGGGTCGAGTCACGCAACGGTCGGCGACTTATCACTGCAGCCTCACCGACCCAAGGTTGTCCAGATATTGCGAAGCCAATATGGCCAGCCTGGCTAATTTATTTCTCGAAGCACAACGCTTAATTAAAATTGAGTTGTTTGCCTCAGCCATAGTCATGGTGTCCCATGTACGCGTCCTTCAAAGCTGCTCCCGAAAAGGGCAACCGATCGGCCTCGGACAGCTCTCTTTATCTGCCGCCAATTGTTCAAAGAGCACACGCACTGGCAAAGGCTCAGTCTACTGATTTACCTTCGGACTCGGCTTCCCTCCTTCGGCCTGGAAGGCTCTCCGATTTCTTAGCGACAGCAGCTGCGGCAACAACATCTGCCTGCCACATTAGATGATTTCTGGTTTTACAGTCCAACTTCATGGATGATGGTAAATCATTATTTTTCAATTTAAGTTTATTTTAAATTAATTCTCTAGCTAGAATTGTAAATCTAAATATTAAAAACCCTGGCTTTAAATTTGAATTGAATTAAATTATTTTTTTAAGAGTTTCAGTTTCTTATAAGTTCTTGGCCAAGTCATTTTCCTGATTTTTTACTGTAGTTTGTTTGGCCAAAATGGGCATTATAGCCGCTAAAATATGATATCAACTTTGGGATCGCCTCACCAAAAGTGGCCATAGAATTTTGGGAACCTACGAGGACAGTGACTAAGAATGAAAACAGGGCGTGGATTTGCAACTTTTTAACAAGCCGGCCGGCTGTTATTTTTTCCCAAAAACTAAAGCAGAATTTCACTATGGAAAAAAAAATATTATCGAGACTTTAAAAACATAAATTTCAATTAAAATATAAAGTAAATTTTTTATAAAATCTTTTCTTTTTGTAAAATCTAAAGAATAATTATTAAATTTTATTAATTTAAAATTTTTAAGCCAAAAATATATGTTTTCTGTGCAATGAGAGAGTGCGAGAGAACCGAGAGCTCTTCGGCCAAGTTCGGAGGAACCATCGGCTCCGAATCGAGAGTTGGGGCTGCGCTAGAGTGGGTCTCAGACCAGGCCATCATTCGAGCTCGAGTGATTCATGGTGCCGCACCACCGCTCCAAAGTCGCAGCAACTGGAAAGTCGCGCTCGCCACTTGGCTGCTCCCGGCGATGAAAAGTACGTTCGGTCCGCGTCCGAAAAGGTGTCAACGTAGTCAGAACGTAGTGGAAAAACCGGATGCAAAACTAAACTCAGTGCGTGGATGCATTTCGTAATTGGTGGGGATTCGTGCCCGCAGGAAGCCGGCCCGTCGCCAATGACCGGAAGTGCCGGGGGGGAGTAGAAGAGGGGCCAAGCTGTCGGCCCGGCCACGCCTGCGCACAGGTTTCGGTCAAGTCTCGTTGTCGGACAAAAATCGCAAGGCCAGGCTGGTCAGCTAGACAGCTGGCAGCAGGCAGGAGGCAGTTTGTTTGGCTTATTCGCGGAACAAAGCTGGCCAACTGGTACATAGATTTCGATGAATGTTTCCCAATAACAAACAATGGTGTCAGGTTGCAAATGTTCTGTATCAATAAATAATTTCCAACGGCTGGCTTTGGTGGAAACAAACAGGCACTGGTGCCGGGTCCAGAGAGCACCAGTGCAAATTATATTACACATTTTTCTTCTACGATCTCGATAAAAAATAAAGTAAACCAAAAAGTAAAAGCTGGCCGGCAGGTCACGTTCTCAATGGCAAGTGTATGTGGCTGATTGTGAGAGAAATGGTCAGCACTTTGGGTTGTGGGTACATATTTGCATATTGGTGGACAGAGTGTCGTTTCTTTGTGGCGACACGCGTCGCTTTTGGGATGAGTCACAATTAAAAAGGCTGGGCCCAGGCTGGGCTCGGGCCGGGCACATCCCGGGGTCCACCAAGCTCCTCCACTGCGTGTGGGCAACCCGTCTGTATTTGTATTCAATTCTTGGCCGCAAAACAGTGGAAACCGCAAATGACAGACAAGACAAAACCGAAACGGCTAGGAAGCAAAATGAAAAACAGTCACTCAGACAACCAGACAAGTGCAAAGGGGGCTAGGTGGGGGCTATACGGGCGCCCAAAAGTGGGATTTCGTAATGCCATTTAATGGCAGCAGCAGGCACACACACACTGCACACAGCGGCGGAAAACGAATCTAGATACTTTATCCAACAGATACAGATACAAATAGCGTCATCGGTTGATTTTCCATGAGGCGCCAAACGAAGCGTGCAACCAAAAAAGCAAAAATAGTAGACAATAATACAAAAAAAAATAACGAATAAGGCGAGAGCCGCAGGCACAATTCAAATTGTATTGTTATTCGACGCGTATCTGCTGGATGCACAAACTAAAAATATGTCCAGATACCCAGATGCAATACCATCAAGTGTTGCATCGATAGTTTGGCTATTAATAGTCTAGCACCACAGCGGGTTCGCAGCGGGGGAGGTGTTTAATTTACGTGGCCGGGACGGGTCGGGTCGGGAGACAATCCGCTCCAGGAATACATACCTATTCAGTAGCAATTGAGTTTCATGCGAGCGTGTGTGTCGCTGCCCCGTAATCAAAGATAACTTATTGCATCCCATAAGTTGCTGTGCATGTGATCTTATAAAGTAACAAAAATAAAAAATAAAAATGTGTTATCCACTTTTAACAGCAAACTGTTAATTTCTAAAGCAAAACGGTGTATGTGCAGTTGGTGGATATGCCAGTGGTGGGTCCAGATCGAGATCCAGAGCAGAGGGAAGCCACAATAAAGCCCGGGCGAGAAATCAAACGATCGGCAACACAACAAGCACTCAACGCACATTAACGCAAAACGCTTCAAATTAACACTGAACGCTAAATACAATAATACGAAAAATACAAAAACAGCAAGAAAACAAAACCCCCAAGCCATGGATACAAAGCCAACTACTAAACGGGCCGAAATTGAACAGTTTCTGTTGGGTAAGTTTAATAATGTACATATATACATACATCATTTTTTTTGGCAAAAAAAAAAACTATATTAAAGCCAGTTAGTGTGAGATAGATCAACAGAAACTTTGTTAATTTTTCATCGCAAGCAGCGCCATCAAAAAATTAAGAAACCAAGCCAGTGAAGAGAAGAATGAGAAAATACACCTTAAAATATTTAGTTAGGTCTTTAAGATATAGGAAGTTCCTTGTTTTTATGATCAACCAAGCAATAAATGAGACTGTTAAATAAATCTGATAAAAACCTTATTTAATACTCCATGAATCAGTCATACAAAAAGGGTTAAAGTTTATACGAAAAAAAAGTAAGCCAGTTTTAAACAAAAACTGTGAGTAATGTCTTAATGTAATTTTTAACAAACGAACTTTTTTTCTTTAATTAAAATATATTTTTTGTGTTAAGTGTAAAAAGCATTAACAATAACCCAGTGCCAGAGAGTATTATTGACTCATTCCGCAGGCGTCCAACTTTAATACGCTTTTGTTCTTGTTCTGGCTTATGATCAGACTCCTCTTGTTCTGTTTCTGGTGTACGTACATTATATGGAGAACGATTTGGACTCCTCTGCGGATTGTTGGACCGCTGGATCGCTGGACCGCTGGACTGCTCTTCCCCCGAATCGTTTAAATATGTTTGTGTGCTTGTATCCAAATGTATACACAAGGCAGACAATAAACAGAGGATTGGACATGCCGCAAAACTACGCCTAAGGCGCTTGTTTTAGCCTCCGTCCCTTGCCGTTTGCTTTAGTCAGTTTAATTTTCTCAAGTTTCGGTTCACTGGTCATGATGAAGGGCATCGTAAACATATCACAGCCCTCCTCCGATGACTGTTCTGTTCACTCTTCATTTATCTGGGTTGTTCAAAGTCGAAGAGCCTCTTCTTTTGTTATTTAAATACCAAACCGAAAGGAAGCTGTCGGGAGATTCCCACAACTCAGAGTTATTCCATGCTCTTATCAGCAGATTACAGAAACAGAAATGCACACCAATGTTTTATCTTTGTCAATAAACATCCGGGTCCGAAAACTTTAAACGATTGGTAGATAAACTCTCCACTAATCTGTACAAAACCATTCAACGAAATTTGTCACCAACATTTTTTTCTAGCGCCTTTTAAAATCCACGCTTTCCATTTATGCCCCAAACAAAGGCTATATCTTGGCCAATTTCCAAGCGATCCTTAGGCGGTCCTTACCTCAAACAATTTGCAGTTTTGTTTTTCAAAAATTTCAAACAAAAAAAATTTCGATCCAGATTTTTCTGATGAAACCCCTTGCAAAATACATGATTTCCATTTTAGCCCCAAACCAAGCCCATATCTTGGCCAATTTCCAACCGATCTTTGGAAGGAATACCTTAAACGGTTTGTAGTTTTGTTTTTCTACAATCTGCATCAAAACCTTACATCAAAAATTTCGATCCAGATTTTTCAAATTTTTCTGATGAAACCCCTTGCGAAATCTAGGATTTCCGTTTTAGCCCCAAACCAAGCCCATATCTTGGCCAATTTCCAACCGATCCTTGGAAGGAATACCTTAAACGATTTGTAGTTCGATTCTCCTTCAATCTGCATCAAAACATGAGAACAAAAATTTCGATCCAGATTTTTCAAATTTTTCTGATGAAACCCCTTGCGAAATCCAGGATTTCCATTTTAGCCCCAAACCAAGTCCATATCTTGGCCAATTTCCAACCGATCCTTGGAAGGAATACCTTAAACGATTTGTAGTTCGATTCTCCTTCAATCTGCATCAAAACCTTACATCAAAAATTTCGATCCATATTTTTCAAATTTTTCTGATGGAACCCCTTGCAAAATCCAGGATTTCCATTTTAGCCCCAAACCAAGTCCATATCTTGGCCAATTTCCAACCGATCCTTGGAAGGAATACCTTAAACGATTTGTAGTTCGATTCTCCTTCAATCTGCATCAAAACCTTACATCAAAAATTTCGATCCAGATTTTTAAAATTTTTCTGATGGAACCCCTTTCAAAATCCAGGATTTACATTTTAGCCCCAAACCAAGTCCATATCTTGACCAATTGCCAACCGATCCTTGGAAGGAATACCTTAAACGATTTGTAGTTCGATTCTCCTTCAATCTGCATCAAAACCTTACATCAAAAATTTCGATCCAGATTTTTAAAATTTTTCTGATGGAACCCCTTTCAAAATCCAGGATTTACATTTTAGCCCCAAACCAAGTCCATATCTTGACCAATTGCCAACCGATCCTTGGAAGGAATACCTTAAACGATTTGTAGTTCGATTCTCCTTCAATCTGCATCAAAACCTTACATCAAAAATTTCGATCCAGATTTTTCAAATTTTTCTGATGGAACCCCTTGCGAAATCCAGCATTTCTCATTTTAGCCCCAAACCAAGTCCATATCTTGACCAATTGCCAACCGATCCTTGGAAGGAATACCTTAAACGATTTGTAGTTCGATTCTCCTTCAATCTGCATCAAAACCTTACATCAAAAATTTCGATCCAGATTTTTCAAATTTTTCTGATGGAACCCCTTGCGAAATCCAGCATTTCTCATTTTAGCCCCAAACCAAGTCCATATCTTGACCAATTGCCAACCGATCCTTGGAAGGAATACCTTAAACGATTTGTAGTTCGATTCTCCTTCAATCTGCATCAAAACCTTACATCAAAAATTTCGATCCAGATTTTTAAAATTTTTCTGATGGAACCCCTTTCAAAATCCAGGATTTACATTTTAGCCCCAAACCAAGTCCATATCTTGACCAATTGCCAACCGATCCTTGGAAGGAATACCTTAAACGATTTGTAGTTCGATTCTCCTTCAATCTGCATCAAAACCTTACATCAAAAATTTCGATCCAGATTTTTCAAATTTTTCTGATGGAACCCCTTGCGAAATCCAGCATTTCTCATTTTAGCCCCAAACCAAGTCCATATCTTGACCAATTGCCAACCGATCCTTGGAAGGAATACCTTAAACGATTTGTAGTTCGATTCTCCTTCAATCTGCATCAAAACCTTACATCAAAAATTTCGATCCAGATTTTTAAAATTTTTCTGATGGAACCCCTTTCAAAATCCAGGATTTACATTTTAGCCCCAAACCAAGTCCATATCTTGACCAATTGCCAACCGATCCTTGGAAGGAATACCTTAAACGATTTGTAGTTCGATTCTCCTTCAATCTGCATCAAAACCTTACATCAAAAATTTCGATCGAGATTTTTCAAATTTTTCTGATGGAACCCCTTTCAAAATCCAGGATTTACATTTTAGCCCCAAACCAAGTCCATATCTTGACCAATTGCCAACCGATCCTTGGAAGGAATACCTTAAACGATTTGTAGTTCGATTCTCCTTCAATCTGCATCAAAACCTTACATCAAAAATTTCGATCCAGATTTTTAAAATTTTTCTGATGGAACCCCTTGCCAAATCCATGATTTCCGTTTTCGTCAAAACCAATATCATGGTCGATTTTTTTTTTTACCAAAATGTATTCATATTTTTTTTACCAAAATGTATTTTTAAGTGCATTTCCAATTCAAGTTAGTCGTTCCTTGACTTTCGTTCTTGTTTCGTATTCCCATATTCGGACATATTACGTTTAAAGAGCTTTCCGGATCATTGCGTGTTCAACTTTTAACAAGTCTTGCAAATTTATGTTGTTTTTTATTTCTTTTTTTTTACCGTTAAATTATTTATACATAAGTATGTAAGTAGTTCTCTTTAGAGAGGAGGGGCGGACAGCAGAGTTAACTTTCTTGGACAGTGAAATTATTTTTAATTGCCGCGGTCAATTCGCAGTTGACTCTTGAGCGAGCGCTTTATGAGGTCACTCGTGTATATAGAAGTGTATAAGTGTAGATGTGGTTCATGTGGTTTGGGGGCTTGGAATCGGAGTAGTTAACTTCCAGCTTAGTGAGTCATGGCCTGCACAAGAAGCACACAGTCTAATTGCCACTTGGAAACTACAAACTCTTGCTCAACAGCCACTCTGCCATTAGGGCCAATGATGCGTTTAAAAATTAATTGCTAATGGGGACCGCCGCCTTATTTAGAACTGACGATCCTCTCCATCTCCATTGCAGATGTTCGCGCCCATTTCCGAGCCTCGCTGGAGACCTCGGAGTACGAGAACGCCTCAAATCTCTTCCATGTTACGGCCGCCGAACAAACCGCCGCTCTCCTGGCCCGCTGTGAGATTCTTCTGGCCTCGGGATCTGGAGTTGGTTGCGCCACAGACGAGCAGGCGGCATCCAAACGGCTAAGTAGCCTGGTGGACTGCGTCGACAGCAAGGTGGGCGCGGATACCGGTCCCACTGGCCCCAACTACCTGCCGATGTTAACCTCCCCGTCCTCCTCGAAGAACTCTCGTGAGTACCGTGAAGAATTAATGGTTATAGTTTTTATAGTCAAGCTTCCTTAAATAATAACAAACTTTGATGTGGAATAGGTTTGAATGTTTTTATTTTTACCTATTTAAATATTTTGACTTTTTCAAAAACATTAAAGTTAAAATAAGTATAGTTAATAGTTAATTTTTTATTTATTTTAATACAAAAAGAAGAGACTTACGAAGAGAGTTTCTTACCAGCCAGTATTACCAATCAGTTTTCATCTTTAATGAAGCTTTACTGTATTTAATGCCTACAAGTTGCACTAATTACTCTTAATTTCAGTGTCCGCATCACGAGAATACATAGATCTTGGGAGCAGTGGCTCACTGGACCGCTGCTCCACCGGCCAACCGGTTATGGGATCAGCCGAAAAGGAGCAGCACCAACTTTACGAGATCTGCCAGACCCAAGATACGAGGTTGGGACAGGACGAAGACGAAGCCCAGCAGGTTATCACATTCACCCACGAGTTGATCCTCGATTGTCCGTATGCAGATCTCCCGGCAGGACATTTGGCACTGCAGCGTTCCACCAAATACGGGCAGCTGCAGAGGATCGTTCCCAAGCGACTGTTCTTCGATCAGACCCGCAAGTGTTATTGTGGAATCCTCAACGACTGGATGCTGTGCTATGCAGACGGACCGACTTCCTGCCGGCCTAGTAGCACTCTCTACCTGAAGTGCTCCTCCATCGAGATCGAGCACTTCGGGGAGGGCAAGCGGCGCGAGATCTGCTTCCAAATAACCACCGATGACCCCAACAAAAAGTTTGTCTATCAGGCCAACAACGAGGTCGATGCCAAAGAGTGGATACACGCCATCGAGGCGGCCATCCGCGGAGATGCAAGGGCGCATACTCCCCTAAAGCTTCCACCTCCCCGGAAGCTGCCCACACCTCCCGTTCAGAAGAAGGCTGGCTACACACCAGCGGATATTATTTACGAAGAGCCCTCTCCGATCTATGGGTTGATGGACTCTTCGTCGACAATGGTGCTGCCCAAGCTGCCGGAAAAAAACAACAGTCCCAGCGCCCTGGCACGTCGATTCGAGTACGATGTACCCAAATGTCCTGCTCAGCCGCTGGAGGAATCCAATGGTTCGGGCGCAGTAGAGGGGGAGTCCCTGGGGCTGCTCAACCTAGAGCAGGGTGAGCAGGTGAAGTTGCAACCGCAACCGTCCAGCTTGCATGGCAATCTGTCGCTGGACTTTCAGGCCAAAGTCAAGACGGTGCACAGCGAACTGTCGAACCAGCTCTCCCCGGGAGGACCCAGTCCGGATCGCTTAAAAAAGGCTGTGAAGAAGAGCTACTCCAACGGCAGTGGCAGCGAGCCGGAGATGCTCTCCCCGCTAACCAGCCCCACCCACACACCCACAAAGGAGCAGAAGAAGCAGCGCAAGGACAGCAAGGACTGCGACAAACTGGCCAGGAACTGGTTCCTCAATCGCCTTAACAAAAGCACTGGAATGAAGGTCACCAATTCGGGCAGTGGATCGCCAGCAAACGGGAAATGCAAGCAAAGCGAAAAAGAGAACCTTCTGACTGATCCCGATCCAGGCGAGTGCTACGAACCCGGCAGTTCTCCGGGCGACCGAGATGGCAGTCTGTCCGGCAGTCACCCCACATCACCCTGCCTCAAGGCTGAGGCCCAAAGCAAAGTCAACAGGATCATCAACCAGTTCGAGAGCAGCGGTCACCTGTCCACCATGTTCAGTGTGGAGGCACTGGCTGCCAATGCGCTCGCCTCGCTCACCTCCTTCTGCGATGGCGACGGGTGCAACAACTACGAACCCATCATGCCCCTGGCCACCACGCCCAGCAGCTTCCTGAAGAAGGTCTAGGCCAAGGCCCTCTTCCGACATGGCGTCTCTGTATTGTAGATTTAATTCTTAGGCTAGTGAAACCACTCTCCGGATGTGACATCAACTTTGACATAAAATTTTAATATCAAAACAATGGTTGTTAGCATTCGTAAAATAACGACATGTGAAGTGGAGGATGCAGGGTGCATGTTGCTGGGACAGACAGAATCCTTAAGGTCGAGGTAGATTTCAATGTCGTTGCTTCTGGTGGTGGTGGTGCCGTGTGGAAAGGTGCAAAAGTGGATTATAATACAGTTGGGAGTTAAATTCAGGGGTACTAGTCCGTATCCACGGGATAAGAGACGGTGGTTCGCATTGGATTCGGGTCATTGCGCTGAGATTCAATTTTATCCACGAAGTGACGTCGCCTCCGTTCATCGCCGAGAAGGACCAGCTTGCGAGGTGATTCCTTAGTGGAAAATAGGCCGAGTACCTTCTTGCCATCCTGTTTGACAGTGATTTGAACACCGCGAGGGGTGCTTTCCACGGCACTAATCTCATTCCAAAGGTAAGACCAAAGCGACTGAAATTCAGGAAAGATTAGGTTGGAAGCGATTCCATATTGGGTGGCCACTTACCGTCCAAATGCCAAACATTTCATTGCGCTGCACATAGAGCAGTCGATAGTTGGTAACGATCATATACTCATTTTTCGGGATAATCTCCTCACAGTGTAGGAAGCTGTCTGTATTGGAGAACTTTCCTTTGTCGGTTTCCCTGCAAAAAGTACCCTAATAGTATTCAGAAGGTACATATGTCTTTGGAAGCCACTCACTTTAAAATCTTATTGCCAAAGGCCTCCATGTAGCAGTAAGGACGCAGCACAAAGTCATAATGCTGGAAACGTGGTGGACGCATCCGTTTTACATCCTCGCTGGCCTCCGCCGCTCGTTTTACTGCGTCGAAGCTGCCACTGGCGAAGTCAACCACGCCAGCGGTGGGGCGAGCTACAAGGCCAATGGCTCCTTTGCCCAGGCCCTTGAAAAAGCCTTCAACGCCGTGTTCGCGGGCTCCAGACACGGGCTTGGTTACAACGCCAGTGACGCCATCATAGAAACCCTATGAGAGAAATTTTAAAATATTACCAAATTATAAAACGTCGTTCGTAAGATTATCCCAACCATAACAAGGCCCTTGCTGCTGCGAGCCAATCCCTCATGGAAGTTCTTGGGTTTATTATGAATTCCCTGGCGTCTTTTCCTCTGGTATTCCTCGTCAAAGGTCAACGCAGCCAGACCCTTGCCCATGGCCCCAGTGATCCTAAAATTATAAAAGTTGTAAAAGAATTAAATAAATTATAGTTCCATTTAAAGATAGATACTCACTTGGACATGGCTCCTGCAGCACCGCCCACCGTGTGACCAAACAATGACTTCACACCCAACACCAAGCCTTCGGCAAATTCTCCGGGTCCCTGAATTGCCCCTTGGAAAGGTTCGTAAAACAAGTCCTCTACGCCCTTCTTGAGCCCCACCACCAAGCCATAGGGATTTCCCAGGACATCCAGACCAAGGACAAGCACGTAGAGCTGTTTCAGCGCCTGGCCCGTGTAATGCGAGGTGATTTCATTGATGAGCTGGTGTTGCGAGAAGAACTGGTACTCGCGCTCGAAGAAGGCCAGCCTGAAGACCACGTCGTTGACATCGGTAAGGGTCACACCGACACCCTGAACCACCGTGCCCAGGACTCCGGGAAGAGCTTTCGTGTCCGAGTTTGCCATTGAGAAGCTGACATGTATCTTAAGTGGACCCAAATGAAGGTTGTCGTAGAAGCTCTTTTGCTCCTCCATCGAGTGCTCTTCGAAAATAACGGACAATGGCATCTGGATCGACTCCACATCCTGGCGGAACTGTTTAGCTTTCACATCGTCAGTCACCTCCTTGACGAACATCTCAGAGATGGCCGTCAAGAAGTTAAGATCGACTTTGAAGTGGAACTCCTGTATCAGGAGCTTGGCGTACTTGAACTGCCGCACCTGCGAGTTGGGCATGATTCGTTGAACCATGCTGCACTCGATGAATGGTTTTAGGGTGCAGGTGTTGGCCACACTCTTTGGCGGAGGTATGGGCGCCAGGACGACGGGGAATATGGGGTCTACGAACTGATTATCGATTTGAATGCGGTTGATCTTCACATGCAATTGGTTCTGGTGAGGCGACGATTTGCGGGCCAACCAAATGGCCGGATAGAAGCTGCGCCTTAGATCCCGGACAATTGACTTCTTGAGTTGCATAGCCTCAAAGTCAATCTATGGGAGAAAGTATTAGCAACCAAAACTACATCATAATTTTTAAAGAATATTTTACAGGGAATTTGTTGTCCAGAGTGTAACTTTGCACTTCATTGACGCTCCTGTTGAGCAGATAGCGCTGGTATTCGGCCTCCAAAAGGGCGTTGTCATTGATGGTCATCTCCTTGTAGCGCTTCTTGGTAGCCTTCTTGGACTCCCATATAATCCCCGAACTGGTGACGCCCAGATAAAGAATATCTAAGCCAGTCTCGTTGTTAACCACAGACAGACCAATGCCGTGGATTCGCACATCGATGCTCTGGGTTACGACTTGGAATGAACCGGTGGTCTCAGTGCGCTTGACAATCGATTCATCGTCGGCGAACAGCAGCACACGCTGCAAGCCGTCCAGGAATGATACCCACTTGGCCTTGTGACCGTCTTGCATCCTGTAAATGATTAGATATTAGGAGTTTGATATTTTTTGAGTGAAGTTTAACTACTTACGTAAATTCACCAAAGCCGTCGCGTTTTAGGTCGGTTTCTTCCTTGCTGTTGCCAAAGACAAGCATCTTGGGACCTGTCGGATCGTCCCAGGCATACATGGTAGTGCTCTTGGCGTTCAGAATCTTTTCGTTCCTTGTGCCCTTCTCGTAGTATACTACCTGTCGCCCAGTGTGATTTATCAGCAGGCCGGGAGCATCGCCCGGTTTGTAATCCGTAAAGGTGATGTAGACACCACCCTCCGTCGTCTGGACATCTACATTGATTCCTCCATATTTGCTGTTCTCCAGCTTCAGCAGAGTGCAGATCACCTCCTTGTAGTCAAAGGCAGGGGTCACCTTGCCCTCAACACGAACCACCAGATTGTTTTTAGTTTCGTTTTTGGGCCAGAGCGGCTCAAACTGGCCCGGCGTTAGAGCCAGCCAGGGATCGCCAGGACGGCTTTGTTCCTGCAATTCCACTGTGAAGCGGCACTTGTTGCAAACAATGTAGAACGGTATAAAGGTGATCTGCTTGGTCAGAGAGTTCTGCGTCATGTGATTGTGAACACCAATGTGATATTTCTGACTGTTGGCTTCGCAGGTGACCTCGCCGATCGCTCCGGCCACGTCCAGAGGAATTTTCTCGCTCCATTCGCCATTGTCGCAGCGAATGGAGGCCTTCTTTTTATCAAAGAAGGAATTATCTCGGAAAGTAAACAGAATGGGTCCGGAGTATTCTGGCGGGTGGTAGAGCATCTGCATCGAGCTCGTTTCTGTCCTGTACGTCAGCATCTTGCCCGTCTTGTTTATCATCCAGAAGGGGCTGTAGAGTGTAAGCATTACACTGCCATTTCGATCCTCTGACATAACATAGAGATCCATGTCCACTCGCATTTCAGAATCGTATGAAGAGAATTGCCAAGGGGAGACTTCGCCAGTTTCACTCGATATTGCTGTTGCACAAGACCAATCCTTCTCCAGGTATTGAAGTAGCTTCATAAAGTATAAAAACCTTGTTAAGCCTTGTTGTTTAAATAATTTAGAAATATAAAACCAACCCGAACAACCAAAAAGGTTCTACGGTCATTGCCCTTTTCCACCAAACGAACAGTGGGTAGAAGTAGCACATCGCCGGATCTGACCTCCTTTTCGCCATAATCCAACAAGTCTTCCTTCTGGTAGGAGTTGCCCATCAATGCAATGGATGAGTCTTCTTCGAGCCCATCATTCCGAACCGCGCATCCTGCCACCGACACCTTGATGTCGATGGGCAAGCAATTGCGGAGGTAAAGCGGCGGTCGCAGGTGAATAGTGTAGAAGGCGCTAAGGATGGTGTACTTATTGGTATGCTCATAGTATATCTCCGTTTTGGTGCGCCTTGCGTTGATGAAGAGTGGCTCAAACGAGGATATGGGATCGCAGGACAGCTGGTGGTTGTAGCACGTGTCGGATGGATGGGCAGCCCAGGAGATACCCTGAACCGATGGCCGGTAGCCCTTCATGGCAAAGTAAAGGTCCTTATTTTCCCCATAAATAGCGTGCAGCGGCACATGGAACAAACCGCCAGCAGGAATGCGACCCACCAATATGTCTTCGAAATTTTGCTTCGTTGGATGCAAGTTGCGTCGATAGACACACACGTTGGTGGTGAAGTGATTGTGAATCTGTGAAATCAATCCATTTTTGAGGCGCACAAATAAAACAGAGGAGGCCGAGGAGACTTACACTGACAACACCGTGAATGTTAATTTTTGTGGTGCCGTACTCCTCCCGCACCTTCGACACAATGCCCCATGGTTCGCTATCAGGACTGCGGAACAGTTCGAAGTACCGTGTATCCGACTTCGCAACCGGCAGGGCTATCTCCTTCTTGATGTCGCCAATCTACGAAGAAGTCAAAGCAATTAGAAATATTTTTAAAAGATTACAATAAGTACTCCCATACCTGCACATATAGCGACTGGTCGTTGGCTTGCTCGGGATCTAGTAAGCTAAAGTCCTTGGTTTGTAGATAGGCTCTGCCTCCCGATGAAATGGTACATGTCGTAATTGCAACAGGATCGATTTCAGTGGTTTCGGTTGTTACGGAAAAAGTTCTACCGTTGGCCGAAGGCACACCGCGATGTACTTCATGCAGAGTATAGATTCCCTTAGTTACGTTGAGAGTAACCTCAAAGCCTGTGTCATTCTCTAGAACGAAGGGTGCCACGACTTCGGGCTTGACAAGACCCTTCTGGTCAATGGCCTGCGAGAAGGCCTCTCCGAGCTCGCTTAGTAGACCAAGGCACGTTTTGCTCAGCGTGATTTCTAGCGTCTCATCTGAATGAATGTTCATATGTAGAGCTTGCTGCGGTTCGTCTCCCTCCACTTCGCTCGGAACCGTTTCCATGCCCATATTGAACTTTAGCTCCCACGGCGAGTATTCCTGAACGCCTTTGTTATCGATCTCGTTCAGTTCTATAATCGGCTCCCATTCGGCTAAGGTCTGGTTATAATAGTTCTGCAAGGAAATGAATCAATGTATTTGTTGGTTTTGCCATATTTAATAATATAGTTACCATATTAAGGGTCAACGAGCCCTGGGCAGTGAGGTTGCGGCTCCAGTTGTTAAAGACAGCTGTGATGCGGACATCCATAGATATGAGTGGCCGAGTGTAATATCCGACGCCGGACTCGATCACTAGTGTTATGCTGGGCACCTCTATCACACACTTTTCCGTTTTCCCTTGGGCAGCGACTGTACTGGGGCTCTCCATTAGTTCATCTTCGACGGCTTCTTCGGCCTGCTCCACTCGAGTAAACCAATAGTTGCGACTGTGCAAGTGTCGTGGCAGCCAAATGTTGGAGTAGTTCTTGGACTCCTCGACAATGGCAGCCTTGGCCATAGTGCCGGTGGAGATGGATAACATCGCCTTGTTAAGCAATTCAATGGTGGCGGGGGAAACGTTGACAATAATGTCACTCAACTTGAGACTGATGTGCATGCCCTCCTCCTCGGGGGTGGAGCCCTGCAGACTGATCTCACATGGATGCAGGATATAGTGGCGGGTAGACTCCCGTCGCTCTGGCAGAAAGGCACACATGTACATCTTGAGGCTATCGATTTGTCCGTTCACAAGCTGTTTATCGTTCAGACTACGATAATTAAGGTGAGCTTTAGCCTGCAGAAAAAAATATACATTAGTAGGAGTATAAGGTTATTATTCTATATCACTCACATTGAATATAATACAGCTGGTGTTCAGATCATCTAGGTTCTCCACCAGAATAATGTCCGGCTCGTCGATGTGCAGTATGAGGTTCATTTTTGTATTGACGGCTGTTGAATGAAATAATAATTAAATAATTTAAAAATTAAAATATGATAATACATACGCGCTGCGCTCTTTTCCAATTTTTCTTCATTCGACATTGTGGACGATCGAAGCGTGGTTTTAGTATCACGTGCTTCAAAAACTTGTGATCCGCGTATTTCGGGGTCTCCGGATACCCGAACAGGTGGAGTTTGCGCCGGCAAAGCAAGGAATGTGGTCAACTTCATCAAGAAATCGATGCAGACAATCATATCGAACCCGCGAACACGAACCTCAGCTGTAATGGAAACATTGTAAGTTTACACCTCAGAATCAAAGTCTTGAAGGACCTACCAAAGGTGTCATTTGGTTTGGTTATGGCCGTCACATCGACCATGTAGTTGAGCTCGTTATAGCAGGCGTCAATGATGTCTTCTGTTTTCAGCTTAGGCTCTACCCAATCCTTGCGGCTCAGGTACTGTCGAATTTTGCTTTTTGTATCCTGTCGTGTATCGTCCATTTGGATGTTGCACAGAACCACCGAAGTGCTCATCGTGTCGTTGTCTAATTTTGTGCCCTTGATGGACAGGAAGTATATTCCAAAGCGAGCCAGTCCTTTGTCCTCATCTGATTAGAGGGCATAGAATTTAACTATATATAATATATCCGATCCAGAAAGCTTTGTTTTCCTTACCCTCCATCAAGTTTATGATTACACCGTCGAATTGGAAGTTGAACTTGAGTGATTCATGTACTTTTTGTGCCTTTGGTTGCACAACAATGCGCGAAGGCCTAGAGGCCTTTGATGGCCTTTCGGAAGAAAGTTTTATTGGCTCTGGCGGAATTTCTTCAGGGGGAGGAAATTCTGCCAAGCCCTCGCTAAGGTTGTTATTCATAACCGAAATGACCAGGGCATAATCATCAGCAAAGAGAGTGAGCTAAAGTAGGAAAATACATTTTAGAGAATTTGAAAACAAAATAGAATCATTTAACAGACCTCCACGGACTTTAGACGACCGGCCAAGTTAACCTCGGGAACATCTTTGTACCAGCCGTACGATAAGTTGCGAGTAACCAAGACAGTGCAACTCATCGGATTCATCATATTGAACTTCGACGAGAAGCCAAAAGCAGCATCGACGTCTGTAAGAACACACCTTTGAAGGTTTGTTTAGAGAAAACGGATCTAAGATACTGACCATCTACTGATGTCTCATGGCCATCCAGAATAACAATCTTGGATATCTTTACATCGCATATTTGTAGCTTGATCTCATCGATAACTGCCAGGCGCTCCTCGTTGGGCACAGTAATCTCTGCCGTGTTATTCGTGATCTCCAGCAGACCCAAATCTAAGCAGAGTGCATCGCTGGAAACCGAGCAAGTGGGTATCACGATGACAGGTGCCTTGATGCGGATATTAAGGTTGAGACGAGTGGCCGTTTCATAGGCATCCAATGCCTTTTGGCGAGCGGTTTCCGCCGCGGCTGCACTGGCATCGGACAAGGCCTTCTGGGCTTCCTGGAACTCATTCAGGAAGCTCTGCAAAGGCATAATATTTTAGATTTCTATATGATTTGTGGGGCATAAAAACTTACCATCACTCCGGCCACGAACCAGTTAAGGAACACTATCTTCATACAGCCAATGTCCACTGTAATTTTCATGTCATCGGAATTGTAGTCGCTAGTCTCCTCTTTGTTGTACATTACCAGTTGGCAATTGAAGGCATCCTTGCCCACAATACTCAGAATCTATAAAAAGATATTCCATTATAAGCGGGTTCATTAAATGTAAAATGTTAACCCTTACGTTTTTATGAATAGTGTGGGGATTCATGTCGATCACTTGTATGTCCTTTAGACCCATGTTGACCTCCGTGTAGGAGGACTTCAAAATAACATTAGCTACGAATTTCTTCACATTCATCTCTGCCAGCGGTCGTCTACGGCTCGTGAGTATTAATCCCAGCTCATCAAGATTAGCTATGATGCGAATCTTTACACTCTCAACAACGCGATGCCTGGCCGTCTTCTTGTGCTTTTTCATCTCGGTGGTGGACAGTATATCCTCAGTGTCCTCCAGGATCACTGTTAGCTTCCTCGCAATGCCATCGCCGCCTCCGGCATAACTAACCCGGTCCAGCTGCGTCTTGTTCATCATCATTATTGCCGCCAGCTCATTTTGGAAGGTTCCCGCAACCTCCAGTAGCCGTTTTAAGCACTCCTGGTGCAGCACCACGCGCAGCACCTTGAAATTGGCCACGATCAGTTGTTCCGTGGAATTGTACTTCGTGTTGAACTCCGGGGATGTCTTATCCGCTATCGTGCATGATACCGTGAACAAGTAATTGGAGTTATCGTCTTGATCGGGCGTGTTAATCACTTCCAGCACCTCCATGTTCTCCTCCTGGGTATCGTACTGACAAAGACTGATGCCACCCAACCTAAAAATAGTGGAAAAAGTTAGGGTATCTGAATGAAACCTAATATCAGATTGTTCTTACTTGACCGTAGCTACAGACTCGTAGGTCCGGGCAGCAAAATAGGCCTCCAAACGGCGCACTTCGACGGAAAGAATCTGATGAGGTGGTAAGTCGCGCACCGGCTCTTGAGTAGGTTCCACGGCGTCAGGAACCACAGGAACCGGCATTCGGTCACCCTCCGGGGTGAGATATTCCACGGAAACCGTGGAGGAGAATTCGCTTCGAATACCTTGAAACAGGCCAAAGGAAATGTTTCCTAGGGAGAAGTTCACCTCCAAGTTGGTGTACTGCACGATTTCGCCCGATAAGGGTTCGTTTTTGCTTTCCTGCGTGGAGGATATTTTTTTCACCTCCTTGTTGATGAAGTTTGAGATGGAAACCATGGAGCTGCGAGAGCTGCGCGTCGAAAGCAATGACTCCCGAGGAGGTGGAGCATCTTGATTCGGCAACGGAATGCTGAGCGCCACCCTGAGAGCCAGAATCACGCGATCCTCCGATATGTTGAACATAATTGAGGGCACTTCGATGTCTACCTTGACCTTGGGCATTCGGGGATCGTTGTCCATGACGCAGAGGGCCGCAGTTAATTTCAGCGAGACGGGGCGCAGCACGTGCATTTCTGTGGGCCGGGCAGCCTTCAAAGCCGTTTGCCACGGCTCCATGGATCTTACCACCAGCACCTGAATGTCGTCCAACTTCACTGTGAACTTATCGTAGGCGTTATCCATCACCGCCTTAAGAATGTCATCCTTATTCTCTTTCGAGTGGAACAGATTCTGAACACTCGCCGAGTGTCGACGCGGAGTGCTCGAAATATGCACCTGGCCCATGCTCACTACTAGCAGCGGCGACTGATTCTCCACATAGGTGCCCTTGTGCGGCATTATGAGGATATTCGGCATCAGCAGAATGTCCGCATCGAGAACAGGCTTTTTGTCAATCAAGTATTGCATGCCGGTGGCCGAGCGCTCCTTGAAGTTGGACATCTGAAGGCTAGCCGACTCTTCGAACTTTGACAAGGTCACGTCCCCTGGCGCCTTGAAGGTACTTATCAGTGCCAAGACCGTGGGTGCATCGTAGATGATCTGCAATGGCCTCGCCAACACCTTTACCCGCTGGTCGCATATTTTGTCAATCGGATTCGTTTCGAAGAAAACATCGAGCAGATTGAACTCATCGGTGATCTTTGACTCCACCAGCAGCGGCGTATAATCATTTTGCTTGAGGCCCGTCACTTTTAGTTCCTTCATGCCAGCTGTGATGCTAATGGCATCGCCAGCCGGCCGCTGCCTGACGGCCGCTGTGGCCATGGAAAACTTGAGCAGGAGTATGGATGGCAGAGACGCAAAGTCATGCGACTTGAGTCCCATGCTTTCGTCTTTGTACAGGCCTACTTCCAAGGCAACAAGTTTAAAGTTCATCAGGATGGCCACATATTCTACTGGTAGGTCCGTGGGCTTGGCATTCTCTTGGTAGCCTATTGCATTGTACATTTTTTCTTTTTCTTCGCTGGTCATGGCTGCCTCGAACTTTTCCACTGAAATGGTAAATAAAATTAGTTATGAAAATTGGGACAATAATTTAAGGACTTGCCTAACTTCTGGCCCTCGGTCTTTTCCTCTTTCTTTTCGCCGCCTCCGAACCATCCACCGAACCAACCGGCCTTCTGTACCGGCTCAGCCTCTCGGTTCTTTTCAATTTCGATGTTGACCCGCTGCCTAATCATAAGCAGATTCATGACGTCTAGTTCCGTTTCCAGCAGGCGACAGGTTTCTACCAACACTGCTGGAGGTTTCTTATTCAAAGACAGCTCCTTGTATTTCTAAAGAAGTCCAAAGCATGGGTATTTTTAGTAAAAAGTAAATATGGTTCTTTAAAATACCCACCGTGGCGTATGTGTGACAGCGATCGCGGTGCGCCTTCATATGGGCCCAGGTCCAGGCCTGTCGAGGCTTTCGTATGTCCTCCTCAAGAACACAAGTGATGGCAAACTTCCACCACTCTTTTGCATGACCCTTGTAGGCTATATAAAAGAATGAATCTTATTAGTTTATAAATAAGAATCAAAAGAGGGAAATAATTACGTATATTATGCGGACGATATTTGCGATAAGGAAGACCCAATTGCTGCCGGTTCATAGCATCTCCCAGTTTCAATAGGTTCTCGAACTGTGTATCGGTTAGACCCACATTCAGGGTCTCCATCTCCAAAGTGAGATCAATCTTCGGCCTCTCAAAAGGTGGATCATCCAATTCAGGGTTCATGTTCAGCTTCAGCTTGGCATTGCAAGAAATGGGACCCAGAACTGCAGATCAAAAGATACTTCATAAGTACATTCACATTTTTGTAAACTTTGGCAAGAATTTACCATACTGATAGTTCGAGGGCTTGGCATCTTTCCGAGCAATATTGGTTTGAAACTGAGGTGTTAGTTCTGACTTATTGCTGCTAAACAGATTGCCGCCACAGTTGAGGTAGGCGGACAGGCAGGAGAGATTCGCTATTTTGAAGACCTGTGACGCTTGCTGGGACATGTAGCACTTCTCCCAATCGGCATCGGTGGTGTAGAGCTCCAGCTCGTGCAGAGATATACCGAAAGAGAAGGGACTACCCGTGGTAGTGGTGTCCTCGTATCGGACATGGACGTTGGTAATCTGCACCTGCAGGTTGTTCACAATCTGCGCTGTGAGCTTTTCGGCGAATCCAGCGTCGGGCTTGGGTTTATCTGCAAAAAGTGAAATTAATTTAACATATCTAATCAAAATACTAAAAATAAACAAGTTTATAAATTAAAGATAGTGTAATTTATGATATTGGTAGATTTCTTGTAGAATCTAATCTGAATTTTGGCTTACCCTTCTCAAGCTCCTTTTTGCGGGCAGCTTCCAGAGCGTCCAAGGCGATTTTTTTTGCATCCATTTCGTACTTGGCCTCCTTTTCGGCATTGTATTCGACATTGTTGTTGGGCTGGACCAGGCAGTAAAGATCCTCGATCTTGACAATCACCGGTTGGCTATAAAGATTCTTCCAGGGGATCTTAAGCACCAGTTTCCCTGCATTTTACAACATTAGATAGTGATGTTGAGAGAAGTACACCTCTTGTTTGCTTTCCACTCACCCAGGTAGCCGTAGATAAGCTGCACGGGGAGATCCATTTCGTCCAGGGCATTCTCCCGTATCTTGAGGTTCTCCAAGACCACATCGCCTACAAAAATAAAGAATGAATTGATTCCATTAGTCTTATCGAAACAGTAATCAGTCATTTATAGGTGTTGCCCAAATGCCCCTTGATTAATTGCTGATTAATAATAAAGGGTGTGCAGAATAAAATTTCGACGTTTTATACGTCGAAGGTCAACATTTAGATATCGGAATTATCGTTCTGCGACGTACTGTATTATGTACGAATGTGTGCATCAGCGTCTAGCGTTTTGGGCATGAAGCCTTTTATTTTTCAAGTGTTTGGTATGCTTGGAATTCGAAATGAGCAGCAGCGAAACGGTGGATTCATATTGAATTACGCATGTGGGTCAATAGTTTAACGACCAGCCACCCCAACACATCATGGCAAATATACGGACTGCGCCCCAACTGATAAGAACAAGTCAGACACAACAAATACACTTAATTCTGATACACTTTAATATCAAACCTACATATATCATCGATTGATTCTTATAAAAGATAGCGGCAGTGTTACAACCCTAAATGCAATAATACGATTGACACACGATTGACCAGATAAGGCCTCAATCTAGCCCATGTTCATAATTGTTTCTTTGTGTTTACTGAAAAAGATTATTTTATTCGTAAGCCAGGACTATTAAAATAAATATGAATCATTTGATAAATTTGGTGATTTCTACGAATAATAAATAATCCAAGTATTTTTCACTTAAATTGATTTATTGTGTCTATCGTCTAATGTCTTAAAACCTATTTAAATAATGGATGTTTTATAATGGTTATTGCGTGGGGCGCCGTCGGGTAAAGATAGCAAAGTTAAGGATTATTCTATGCCAAAATTTCAAAATTTTATACAATATTAAAATAGAGAGGGAATCCCCCAGAGCTTAGCTGAACCTGTTTGCATTAGAAAATAAATATTTTAAAAAGCATTTTAGCTCTTTTATAGGAAATCAAACAGCAATGGTTTAAAACGTGATCGGCACTTGCCTCAAGTAGAGTAAAACAAAATGCAAATTTTATTTCAAATATTTCGAGCTATCAGGCATTATGTCATCAAGTTCAAGCCCAGCCAAAATCATATAAAACAGGCTTGTCGGTCCGTCACTCCCGACCTGCGCCACAAATCACAAGCAAACGGGTTTGTTTGGATCGTCTTTTATTTTTAAACAGCTTGAACTTGATATTTTTGTGGTGATGTGGACCCTTGGGGTTGAGGTGAGGCCTATATTAAGACACTAGACTCTATTTACAACGTACTCCATTCGACGGTCTTCTCCGTCTTGTTGCTTTATGACTCAAATGGAATGCCAACGCATCGCATGGCTTGGGAAATTTGAGAGCAGCTTCAGATAAGTGCCGGGAAGTGTTGTTTACATTTGCACACTGATATCCAGCAGAAGTAAATGTGTATGATATATAAAGTGAATAAAGTTGAAGATAAGTGACGTTGTTCTGCAAATATTTCGACGTTTTTCAAGATCTTTCATAGGCTGCTTGGTAAAATTATTTTCTGTGTACTGATAGAGCTAATATATAAACAGAAACCGCAAGGGAGGTGCCCCACTGGCTCCAACAAATACACGTGGCGCACATTCTTACAGCCAGATGCAACAGTTGGTCCACGGGCACCCCACCCATCTAGCCAGCCATCCGGATCGCGACGTGTTGGGAGCTGGGAGAGATTTTTTCTCTCGCGAACATGCGAATATTTTGCTCAGCCACATTAGCATCAACCGAGGCAGAATTAGGTCACTAATTGCAAACAGCCAAGGATAAGGTCATCGCTGTTGTTATTCTTACTTGCGTGCTGAGAGAATCAAGCTATGAAACGATTATATTGCGTGCGGGTGGAGCATAATTGTACCTCATTCCCGGGGGATCCCAACCCGACTCACCGCCCCATATTCCAATTTTCAGCTGCTTGTGATCCAAATTCTCGATGTAGTCGCCCAGGACCTTGTTCAGGACATCGGCCACCACCGACTCGAAGACCATCTTGTCCTAGCAGCTGCTCCTCCACTGGTGGCTATTGATTTTTCGTCGTTTCCTCGGCTCCAAGATTATCGTGCGCGTTGAATCAAACACTTTGGCATTCGTTGTGTAGACAAAGATTTTTCTAAAATATACGTAAACACAGAAAACAACAGATGGAACAGAGAGGTGAATTAAAAAACACTGTCTCGGTGATGTCATCAACGCCGCTTTTGGCACTATTCACTAAGGTCCCATTGTTTTTCCGAAATAATTGGCCGACATTGGACCGGATCGAGGCGTAACTAATCCGGTTATGTAGCCACTCCACGTGGTAGCGGTTGCAACTTCCAATATTCTTATCATTATTTACAACACCTATGTATTTACCAGCGGCATTTCCACAATAACAAAACTCGCGCACGACGCACTCTCGTCCGACGTTCGCTGCAGATTGAACAGCTGTTGCCGTATCCAACGACGCACAGCTCGCACAGTGGGTTTGGTTTTTCGATAGCTACAAATGTATATTTAAAAATTTTTAAAACTATTCAATACCTAAGAAGTTATTAAAACAAAAAACATGAAGATAGTAGGGAGAACGATTTTTACATTTACATTTTTTCATAGCGGTATATTTTTGTGGATATTCCCATCTTACGCGGTCCACAGCTGACCGACCGGTGTTATCGTTATCGATTGGTATCCGCTGACGTGTTTGGATAGATTTCTTGGAGAAAATAGAAAGGTATCATGCAAACAAGGCTTATTTTACTGCTTCTGGCCCTGGCGCCCATCGTATTGGCCAAGAAGTTCAAGGACGAGGAAAAACCAGATTGGGCCAAGAAAGATATACGCGATTACAGTGATGCGGACTTGGAGCGCCTGCTGGACCAGTGGGAGGTGAGTGGCTCAAGTCTAGAAAAGGGCCGCATTTCTAATGTTAATCTTTAATAGGAAGATGAGGAGCCTCTGGAAGCAGATGAACTTCCGGAGCACCTGAGGCCGCAGCCCAAGATAGACTTCTCCAAGTTTGACGGCAAAAACCCGGAGGGTCTGCTAAAAGAGTCCAAAAAGGGACGCACACTGATGACTTTCGTCTCGGTGACTGGTAATCCAACTCGGGCCGAAGCTGAAGAAATTACCAAGCTGTGGCAAACCAGCCTGTGGAACAACCACATCCAGGCCGAGCGCTATATGGTCGACGATGACCGGGCCATATTCCTCTTCAAGGACGGAGCACAGGCTTGGGAAGCTAAGGACTTCCTAGTCAGTCAGGAAAGGTGCAAAGGTGTGACCATCGAAAACAAAGATTTTCCAGGTATCCACGCCCAAAAGGACGAATTGTAGACACCCTTATAGTAAGACTGGCACAATCATTCTCATCCAACAAGTATTTCTAAGCTCAAAGTGAACAAATTTAAATAAAGTGAATTTATTGAAGAATACCCTTAATATTTTTGTGGGAATAATCGATAATATGCTGAAGGAGCAAGTTTCATACAAAAATAAATATATACAATGTAACTAATCTTGTTTCACTATTATTAGCTGTTGATTCTCTTTTTTTTTTATGAAGTTATGAACTATGAACTTAATTATACTTAGCTCAACAGAAGTTGTAGAAGTAGTTAAGAAACTACTTCATTTAATTATTTTTTAAAGTTTGATCAATATTTTTCTTTTAAAACATCATCCCATTAAGAAGACTCCTAACGAAAAACTTAAATTTGATTTAATTTTAATGTGGAAAATATTCTGACATCAAAAAATATAAAAATGTTTGAAAATATTTACACAAAACTCCAAAAATTCTTCAAATTTTGAATTGCCGCTTTTGAGGTTCATGTCACGCTGCCATCGCTAAAGTTATCGTATCTTTTTCAAATGTTCCGAGCTCCAGCTCCCCTCTGCGTGACCTCCAGGCGTCAAGACGGCGTCCATACCCCGTGTAGTTGTCCGCCTGCTAAGTAGCTGTGCCAGCAAGATGCCCGTCCAAGCCAAGATCGGCCCCAGCATTCTCAATGCAGATCTCTCCAACCTGGCCAACGAGTCCCAGAAGCTACTGGACAATGGCGCCGATTATTTGCACCTGGACGTGATGGACGGAAACTTTGTGCCGAACCTTACCTTCGGTCATCCCATGGTCAAGAGTTTGCGCAACAAGATCAAGGTGAGATCGGACTACCCTGAGACAGATTTCTAGTTACATTGTTGCCCTTTCAGACGGCCTTCTTTGAGACGCACATGATGGTTCAGAATCCGGAGCAGTGGATTGAGCCCATGGCCGATGCGGGTGTCAATCTTTACACGTTCCACACCGAGCCGGTGGACGATGTGGCCAAGGTCAGCCGCCAGGTGCAGGAGGCCGGCATGAAGGTGGGCCTGGCCATTAAGCCGGGCACTGATGTGAGTTGAGGTTATGTTTTAAGTTTGTTATTTAAACAAACCACTTGTTGCTTTTTTTTGTAAAAGGTAAAGGACATTGAAAAGTACATAGACTTGGCCGACGTGGTGCTGGTGATGACCGTGGAGCCTGGATTTGGAGGTCAGTCCTTTATGGCCGACATGATGCCCAAGGTGGAGTGGCTTCGTGAGAACTATCCGAACCTGGACATTGAGGTTGACGGCGGAGTTGGACCCAAAACGATTGAGTGCTGTGCCAAGTCCGGAGCCAACATGATCGTCTCAGGAACGGCCGTGGTGGGAGCCTCTGACCAGGGTCAAGTCATCCGGCAGCTGCGCGATGTGGTGCAGAGCTACCTCAAGTGAAGAGAATTTTTATTAGCCATAGTATTAAGCTGAAATTTATATAAGTGTTGACAGTAAACTAGATGAGGAGGAGGACTAAAAGACATTTAGAACCGCAATTATGTTTTTATACATTTATTTTCCAACATTCATATAATATATGTGTGTAAGTATATATCATGTTTCGTATGACATGTTGCTTTTAGCATTTTTATTTGGTTACATGTGTTTTCGTGTAGTTAATGTAGTTACATTCAGGATTCTGCACTTTCCCAGTTATTGTTTTGGCATTGACCCAGTCGGTCTGCCGTATTGTCATAGTTATTTATTTATCGCTTTTGTTTTCCAAAATAAAGTTTCAACAATCGTCTCGTGACTGATTCGCGTCAAAATTTCAAAATCTGAATGTAAAACTCTTCATAAATTCTCAATGCCTCCGATGCGCTTGTCCAGCTCACAGGAAAAAATTCAGTTTCAGTTTGTCGTTTATTGTCAAGGTTTGTTTCTTGTAAATTCTTCACAAAGTGGCGTCTGTGCATAAATAACAAGTGCTTCGTCATCAAATGATCGTCTCTTTAAAGATATACATATAATATATTCTGATACTTTGTGTGTACACATAATTCATTAATTTCTTTTGGTTTCGCGACACATATGTAAATTCAACTAGTTTGGTAATCAGCTTGTTTTTTTGGATTTTGCTACATTTACACATAACGTTTCGCTACAATTTATTGATTTTTAGGGTTTTTGGTATTTAGTGTTTCGAGCCCCTTCAAGCACATGGAGCATGCGGATCTGAATTGAATCCTTCGAAGGGCAGGGATGCGGTAATGGTTGCGGAGGAGTCAACCCCCTGAAGCTTTGCCAATTGCAATTCAACTAGGATGGGGCTTGTGCGGCTCTGAGTTCTTCGTGATGATTGTATGCATATTTTACTTAGTATTTAACTATTCTGCTATCCGTGTCAGGTGTAAATTATTTCACTCACTTCCCTTGCCAATGCTAAGCATTTTACAATCTACAATATATATATAATATATCCGGGTTATGTTCGATTTAGACTAAATGTACATAAAGCTAAGCGTTTTGATAGTAGCATGGAGCATGGGTGTATAAAATAGACCGCCATAGTCCACATAATCGTAAATGCACACAAGGAGTGGGTACCCACGGAACATAAGGTTTGAAAGGATATGAGTGGCTAACTGTCCAAGGCAACAGCTAAAGGAAACAATAGTTGCAATCGAATGATGAGTTTTAAAAGCTTAAAGATTCTTAGGAGCCAACACCACTTTTAAATAAAAGGTTATAGATTTCTTTCGTATTCCAATTGGTGTTAACTCCTAAATACCCCAGAGCTTGTCTCAACCCACCCATTTATGTCTATGCAATGCATGATATCGAAGTAAGCATTATGTCCGTGATATGGGTATATCCCTATGAATATGTATTGTCCTGAATCCGGCTGCTGTCCTTAAGCCCTTAGTAGTAACCATGCTTTCGTTCTGGACGCAACAGCCCACAGATTTGTCTCGAGTATAAACTAAGCTTTCCGCTTTTCGCTTGATAATATGCATGTATAAATTTAGACACCATCACATCTGCTTACAAGCTACTGCTACAATATATATATAGAATATATGTATCCGCGTTATATGTATATTTCTTGTATATATATTTCAGTTACATATGGTTTCTTTTCATGTGCCTTGTGTAATATGCGCTTCATTTAACCCCCCATTTAAGACTAATAATACTTTTCCACTTGTAAACTGATTGTACAAAACATGCATATATATATATATATAGGTAGGCATATAATATGGTATATCTATCTGTGTCTGTATATGTCCAACTAGAACTAATAGTGATCGGTTATACATTGGTAATCTCTTGTCTAAAGCATTTCAACATTTTTCGTATTTTTTTTAGCTAGAAAGAATAAGTCTAATACACCGAGCTCCTGGAATTCCGGCCATTTTGTTTGTCTGGCCTCCGGTTCCGGATCGAAAATAATATCAAAGCTGTACACATCGCGAAGCTCAAGTGTGTGTGCGTGTGAGTGTTTTTTGTGTAATTGATGAAACAACCAATTTTGAGTCTTTAGTTACGCATATTTTACATTCATTTTTGTGCCGTTTTTTTTTCTTATATTTCATTATTGTTTTAGCAAAATAGTTGTACAAATTTTCGCACGTTTGCATGTGAGTGGCACACCTAGGACTACGGATGATAGGAGCACGGGGGATACAAATTAGAGCGATAACATTGAACTTCGACTATAAAGCGGCCAGTCTAAGAGGGGCGTGGCAATCGTGTAAATAGTTCTAAATATTAAGTTACACAGAGCTATCATCTAGCCGGCAATGACATCTTCAATTTCGTTTTAATAACTTCATTTAGTGTTCTTTAAAGCTGAAACCCACGCATTGTAGTTAGTATATTCATGACTTAATCGCTAAATATATATATTTTCATTTTGTTGCTTATTGTGCATTTGTATTTCTCGTTATTGTCAACTGCACTTTCCCTCCATCAAATGCCCAAGATCAGCAAGTTTCCCTTAATTCGATACGTTTAAATATAGAGTTACATATTCACTAAAATTTATTACATGTATTTTTCGCTTAGTTAGTTGCTGCTCTAATTTTCAACACTCAATAGCTTTGGTTCTAATAATATATATTTTCTATCTTTTTCGTCGACATTTATATGCTCGTAGTTTTTACCTATCAGGGCCTTTCAACACAAAATTCAGCTACAAAATCGAATTATTGTCCAGATTTCATTTTAAGTTTTTTAGTTTTTTTTTTGGGATATTTAGACACAATTACCAATCGGTTACATATCGGCTATATATTGGATATCATCTTTCACTTTTTAAAATATATAAATCGCGTTCGCAATATTTGGGTATTGACATTTAGGTCCACCCACTGTGGGCGCTTCTTTTGATTAGGATATCATTCTCCTTGGGTTTCAGGTTCGTATAAATCTTTTTGTAAAAAAATTGACAAATAAATTCGGCAAATTGACACATGATTATGTTGCCCAAATCGGTTCCAGCAGGATGGCTAAAACCCTCTAAGTTCAGTAGCAAAATATATGTATGTATCCCGCAGGATTCATCCGGTTTCTGTGTATTTTCGTGTGTATATACTTTGTGCAATCGTTCCTGTTCGATATTAGATATGGTGTATTCAAGTGTCACTTCATTTCGTCTTAAGTCCTCCGTTGCCAGGCTTAGGTTTTGGACGCGGTCCTGGGATGAGAGTAGTAGTACGGTTGACCATTCCGCATCGGGTCTGTGGCTATTTTGGAGAGCATGTCGGGTCCGCCGGGGTGCAGGTCATACTTGTTCACCCGCTCCTCGTTGATGGGGCGGGCATGCTTCGCCATCTGCTCCTGGATCCACGGCACGTACTGCACCACGTTCGCATAGACACCGGGCAGTCGGGGGTGGGCGCACATGATGCCCCAGGACACGATGCCGCCGACAAACCAGCGGTCCTTCTCCCCCGGATACGGACACAGAAGTGGGCCACCCGAATCGCCCTGCACAAACAGGTAAGAATAATAGAAAATCCTCCATCATCCTCCTAAAGCTTGGGGTTAAGGATAAACTTACTTGACAGGCGTCCTTGCCTCCGTCATCGAATCCTGCACAGACCATGCCCTCCGACACTGTCAAGTTGTCTAGCCACTCGTCGCACTGGTTGCGGGTAATGATGGGCACCTGCACCTCGTTCACAATAAACTCGTACGTGGATTTGGCTGGTGGATAAAATAATAGACTGTTACTTTTCTCCTTTAAGGTTATCTATTTGAATTTTTCATAAAATTGAGATCTTCACTTACGATCCTTTTCTTCCCTTTTTCCCCAGCCAATGACGGTACACAGAGTGCCAGGATGGAGGTTCCTTACGCTCGGAGGTGGCAGGCAGACCGGAAGGAGATGCTCATGGAAGGAAACTCGTGTAGCCAGCTTAAAATTTAAAAGTAGCTTAAAAATCATTCAGAGATTATCCCACCCGTTATGCCCACCTGGAAGAGTGCAATGTCGTTGTCGTGGGCTATGGCCATGTTGTACAGAGGATGTGGAATAACCGCCTTGACTTTGACCTTCTGACCCGTGTAGGTAAACGAGTTGCGCCGTGTTACCCCCAGTTGTATAGTCCAGTCCTCCAGATCAATGACCGTATAGCTATTAAATAAAGTTTAATTTATAAACTAAAAAGATTTTATGAAATGAAATCTTACTTTCCAACACAATGGGAGGCTGTTAACACCCATTGGTCAGAGATTAGAACGCCGGCACAGTAGAAGATCTTTTCCGGGCCACCCAAAATTGCTGCCAGGAAGGGCCAGTTGCCAGGATTAGCCGGAGTGCCACCAATAATACGCCTAGAAGGCTTGTGGCGACCACGTTTGACTCTTCCGCATTCTAAGATTTTTATTTAAAATATTTTTTATATCTTAAGTTGGAAATCATAATAAACACTCACCATAATTGGAACAAGTTAGCTCAGCCATGGGATAATCCTCGGATCTCTTGCAATTGGAAAACTCCTGCATCAAGGTGGAACGTCTCTTGGCGTACATTTTCCAAATGTCAGTGGACACATTTACGGATGCCAGCAAAGGACGATGGGTGCGTTGGGTCAGGACACTCGTGGCATTCACCGCCGAGTAGCCAAGAATGGAGCAAACGGCACTCGGCGAAACGGCACGATCCCAGTTCTTGACACAGGCTGGCATCCACTGACGCTGACCGATGCGGTAGACCTCCAGGACACCAGTGCCAACATCTCCATTCCGCTCACTTAATCTCACTAATCGAAAAGCAATTATTATCCAATCTAAAAGTCAATAGAATCGTATTACTCACAGCAATTCCGCTCATCTTGGCCGTAGGGACAATCGATGATGCCATCGCATATGTGCTTAGTGCCAATGCACTGCATATCGCCACAGTAGATCTCGTCCGGACCACATCTTTCGCAGCTGGCCTCGTCCGCCTGATCCATACAATCCAAGTGACCATCGCATACATACTCGTGCGGCAGGCAGCGGTTTTGGTCGCACTGGAAGCCATCGCACTTCGGATTCGAGGAGGCTATCATCACTTCGCGCACCTCCTCCAGGCCCACACAGTCCTCGGAGCTGGGGAAG